AGCCTTTGTAGAAATTATCCACATGTCTCACTTATCTTAACTGCACTACTGTATAATTCTGTGTAAATAATCATTCTGTATAATACAATAATTTTTAATTCTACAACTGTTTATAACCTGCATAGTTCCCATTTCTGTATAGCTGATGGATGGATATCTATATCATGGCTAAAGCACTTCTGCATGGATGCAAACTGCAATCCGTTGCCTTATACCTGTGACATGTGCAATGACAATAAAGTTGAATTCTATTCTATTCTATTCTAATTAAGGTTTTAACTTTAACTTATATCCTATACTCAGGCTCATCCCAAAATTTCTCATCCATGTGGTGGAGCATCATGACAGCACTAATACGCCATGTTTCAAAGCCAACACAGGGATTAAAAAAGCAGAACCACTCATGGTTTGTCAATGAAATGTCTTTCCGCTCTAGCTGTGGATTAGCCCAAAGCCAAATAGGTGCCACTGGATCAATGGAAGAGTAGGAAACAGCAGCAGTCGAGCACTGTGTCAATTCAGTCAATACCGTGGACAACACTGTTCAGTGTGTGGCCATGAATGAGCCTCTACTGCCAATAATGAAGCTAGCAGCAGGCTAAACGATCAATGGAAACAAGTGAGCTCCCTTCCATTGATTAATCATGTAAAAATAGAATAAAATGCTTGCCCATGTGAATTCCCTGATGTGTTTCGGAAGCATGACGTAACTGTCACTGCTGTCAAATATCAATCATTTAAACAGATGAAATCCTACTCAGGAGTGGTGAACCTCCATGGAAAATACGGCCAACTTACGGATAGGCTCGAGGGGTGACCCCAGCTGGCTGTGGATTGACTCAAGCAAGTCATAATCATCAAAATCCAAGACAAACTCTTCAAAATCCTCAAATCCATCCACGATTGAAAATGAGCTGCGGTGTTCAAATTGGTGTTGCTTTGAGGTTCCAAAGCCTTTCTGGGTGCTGCAACGTCGTTCTGGTCCATGGTGCTTCTTGGTTCCTTGGTTGTCCTGTCCCTCAATGTCTGTCATCTCCACGGTCGGTACCTCCTCCTATCCACCTCTCTCCAAGGGGACACCCTGCTCATCCAACTCTTGAATGCCGTTGCTCTCACTGGTCTACTGA